TGCCCAGGAGGTCTCAAACCCGCGGGCTCAGGCAATCCACTCACCTCAGCCTCCCAACGGCGTGGGATGACAGGCTGAGCCACGCTGAAAAGAAGTTGGGATGGTAGATCTGGAGAGGCGCCTGTGCCCATGGCAACTGGAAGCATGGCTGCAAATTCCTGACGCTCCTTCACCAAATGTCGAGTTTCTGCCCCTCCTCTCAAACCCAGGCAGGCTGGTCAATAGGGTGTGTGTGGCAGAAGTGATGGCTGGATCACACCCAGCCACTCAGGCTCCTCTCATCCACTGGACTGCCCTGCAGCTGCCCTATTGTAGGGAAGCCCACTCTCCGTGGAAAGGCTACTTGTGGACATTCTACCCAGGGGTCCCGGCAGCAGCCAGGCTTCACGGCCTCCAGCACAAGCACCAGAGTGTGGATGGAAAGACCTCCAGATGGTTTCACCCCCAGGCCTTCGGGTCACGCTCAGCTGTTCCAGGCATCCCAGCCAAGACCCCAGACTTTGTGGGACAGAGAAAAGCCAACACCGCTGTGCCCTGCCTCAATTCTGTTGAAAAAAGTGTTTCTCCTGCCACTAAATTTGGGGATACTTTGTTACACAAAAAGGTAACTGCATCCATCTCCATCTCTGGCAGAATCCATTCACCAAGAGCAGGATAGAAACAGTGCCCACGTTCTCGAGTCCTAAGATGTTGGGGGTGGGTTCTGAGGAAGACCGAGCTCTTGTAGGTACGGCTCACCCACAGACACACCTCAAGACATAACATCAGATCACATAGATTTGAGAAATTCCGGGTTAAGTGAGCGTCTGCCATGAGGAAGACCTCTTAACACACCCATGAGCAGCGCACCTGCCAAGAGAAAGACTGACATTGTGTATGCCCTGTGGGTTTCCCTCCTACTGGCAGTAAAAGCAGTCAGATTTTCCCCTGAAAAACCACCCCCAAACCCCACTCACAGCCCCCTGAGTTGTTAAAATTGCAGTCATTAATTATAGCTCATTCTTTAGAAAGAATTTCTAAATATTTCTGAGTAGTTGGGTTGCAAAACTTTCTATTGCAGAGTCTGAGTCACTCGCAGGAGTAATTTCTTCCTGGTTCCCACAGCTGCTTCTTTGTATGGGGAGAAAGTGTGCCATAGCTCACACAGATGGCAGCCCAGTCACGCCCTTTCACGAGGATTTTCCCGGGATTCCTAGGGCCCAGCGGACCCTGTGGATGCTTGACCCAGGGGTGGTCATCTTCAGACATCTGGACACAACAAGGCAAAGCAGCGCTGTTGTATCCCAGGCGGAGTTTGCAAAAGTGAGTGAACTGAGTGGCAGTCACTCAGAAAGGAATTGCTGAAATACCTTCACTTCTTAAAATGTTTTTAAAATACCAGGAGTGAAGGTGGCTAATGTTTCAGGTCATCTCATTGGCCTGTTCCCAGGAGCTTCCCTTCAGGGCCCAGGTGGAGGGTCCACATCTGGGAAGTGAGTTCACATCCAGGGCTCTCACAACACTCTCTAAAGCCCCCTCTTATTACCGAGGCATCCTATCTCTGAATTCCCTCCTCTGCAAATAAAAACTCGCCCCACCCCCCTCCTCTCCCTCCAAGGTTGCTGAAAGGGAGTAGGAAGGATTTGTCAAATTTGTCAACTGTCTGCATGAGGATGCTGAACTCTGGGGACGCTATCAAGTTTCCACGTTTGGCCCTGAATCCGCCTGACAGAGAATAGCTTGCTGGTAAACAAAATTCCCTCGCTGTGACTCATGACAAAGGCATCTAAGAAGTCTGCTGCTGATCTTCTCCATGGGCAGTGGCAAGTCCATGAGCTCAAAGACGGCAGCGAGACTTCATCATGAAGCCTCTCGGGCTAGGCTGTGCTCCTAGGACACAGAAGGCACACAGTCAGCCAGCCATGGGCCTGGGCCTCCGTGTCCTCATCTGTAAACTGGGAATAAGTTAAGCGATCTCTCTGGGTGTGGAGTCCACCTTGGACGTGTCTCCATCTAGGATTCTCATCCGCCATGTTGACTTCTACAAAATTTACTGTCTCTGGTGTAAGAACTTGTTATACTCCTGCTCGTAGATCAAAGCAACCTAGATATTATCACACAAAGTGTAGGTATGACACATGTGGCATTCTTACCTTTCCCAAAGGGTTGCCTTCAATGGTCTCATGCAGAGCTCAGGTATTCTTTCCCAATGGGATAGAAGCCTCGGATCTTGGGGTAACTGTGTGGAAAGCCACCTGTCTGGCAGCCGCCCAAGACTCTGCTCTGTCTGTAAGTTCCCTCAATACATCACCCAAAACCAACACGCTGGACTCTTCTGCCTCCTTCTTTGGTGTCTTGGCTCCGTTGGCACTTGGAGGTTGCTGCCCTGCAGACGGAGGGTGTTAGGTACCACCTCTCCACTGTGTGGGCCGATCTTTGTGTGTCCCTGCAACTGATGGGTTTTGTTCTGGGTTGTTCCCACTAGACTGGAAGTCATTTCTGTGGTTGCCAGATGGAGTCTTTTATGTCCCTGCCATATCCTAGACTAGGTCTCTCGTGTCCCCAGTGTCCCTAGACAGGGCCCCTGGTGTCCCGGCCATATCCCTAGAAACTCATATCCCTAGGGTCTTGTGTCCCTAGACCAGGTCCGCAGCATCCTCGCCATGTCCCCAGACTGGGTCCCTTGTGTCCCCACTGTCCCTAGACTGGGTCCTTCATTTCCCCTGTGTCCTTGACCAAGTCCCAGGTGTCCCTGCTGTGTCCCCAGACTGAATCCCTGGTGTCCCCGCCATGTCCCTAGACAGGGTTCCCAGTGTCCCTACCATGTCCCTAGACTGGGTCTCTCATGTCCCGCTGTGTCCCTAGACAGGGTCTCTGCCGCCCCCACCATGTCCTTAGACTGGATCCCTGGTGTCACCACCGTGTCCCTAAACTGGGTCCCTCATGTCCCTGCTGTGTCCCTAGACAGGGTCCCTGGTGTCCCCACTGTATCTCTAAACTGGATCCCTCATGTCCCCATTATGTCCCCATGTCCCTAAACTGGGTCTTGTGTCCCCACCGTGTCCCTAGACAGGATCCCTCGTGTCCCTGCCATGTCCCTAGACTGGGTCCCTCATATCCTTGATGCACCTCTAGGCCCTAGCACAATCATGAGCCTGAATGGAAGGATACACTGTCCCAGTCACGTGTGGCTGACCAACCAGGGTGGCCATCCTACAGGTCGCTTCCAGCAGCCAGGATGTGCTATGACGGCCAACTGCCTCCTCCACACCCTTCCAAATTCCCAGCAGCGCACAGAAACCCAGTCCAGCACTCCATGTTTAACAAGAACACTCTCCAGGAGATTCTGTATAAACGGTCCATGTCTCCGTACCTTTTGGCTGTTGTTTGGGGGATGAGGTTTTTCGCAGTGCAGCATTGTTTTAATTCAGCGCACCGAATTAATACTGCCCATTGCAGGATTAATCAATCCCTCCTTTAAAGAACCTAGAACCTGGTGAAAGTCATAAAATATTGGACAGTGGCTAAAAAAAAATAGAGTACACATGAGCTTTACAAAAAAAAAGCATTTTATTTTAATAAAGAATAGAAGAGATCAACATACTTTTTAAATTGATACAAAAATAAATATTCATTTAGCATGTTATGGACACACGCCTTAACATTCAACTGAGCTGGAGATTAGAGCCTATCGTTATCCTACACACATTCGGCCAACAGGCCTGTCATCCCCAAAAGCCTAATGCTCACTTTGCTGGCCAAGAGGGAAGAGGCACTCCCACCAGCCTTGTCCTATGTCACGTGTGAACTTCCCCACCGCTAAAGGACCTCTCGGGACTGTGACTACAGGTCCCAACTATGACACCTTCAAGAAGTGGCAGTGGGAGAAGGAAAAGGGCAGTTTTCAGTTTTTCAGATTTTAAATCAGAGACCTTCGGGGTGACGAGGCCACGAAGTTGGCTGAACTTACCCCCAAAGCCGCGTACCTTCCCCATCTCAAACTGAGGGTGGACAGGTAAGACCGTCTCCAGCCCTTCCACTGGGAGAGTGTGAGTGGTGGGTGGCGATGACAGGCTGGGTGTGAGGGACGCCGAATACAGAAGGGGATCTTTTGCTCCCTGCCCAGGCCAGAGCACGGGGGAGGCAGGTGGACCCTCCCCATGCCCCCACATCCGCCCAGCATCTACACCAACAGCGGAGTTGCCCCGGTCAAAGCAACCAACTCTATCCTGGCTCATACTCTGGCAAGAAACGGGGCACCGGAAGTCCAAGCTCATCCAGTCCAGGTGCACTCTACGGGACACACAGATGGATAAGAGGAGCCTGATCTGACAAAGCACAGCATTGACTAAGAAAAAAACTGCTCAAGTGCTTATGCATATACTGAAAACAGTTCTGGGGGCCTTAGAGACACATTCCATGGTGTGTTGGAAGGCCAGGGAGACAGCGGACGGCCCCCGCCATGAGGCCAAGACATTGTTTTAAGTTTTCTATCCCTGGTTTTTGATCAGTATCAAGATTTAGGGGAAACATTTTGGCACATTTTGGGATAGGAAATGTTATCTTATTTGCCCACCAATAGGGTATGTTCTTCCCAGGCTGACACGGGGACTTCCTCATGGGAATTCTGCCACATGACTCTGTGGAAAGGGAGGCTCCGGGGTGACATGGGGACGACGTGAACCCCAAGGAGTACTATAAGGGGTGAGGCGTGCTCCCTGTCACGTGCCCCAGTGACCCTGTGGGACCATGGAGTGGTGAGAGGCCAACACCGCTTCCACACTCCCCAGTCCACTCCCACCTGCCCCACACCAAACACCACTGGCTGATGAAGAGGTTGACCGAATTGAAGGCACTGTCATCAAAAGGCTCATGCAAAACACACGTCTTCTCCAGCATGTGGCCATATCCTACCCATTTAAAGAAACAAATTCAAGGCAGTTTGCAACAGAACGTTTAAAATAAAACAATGAAAAGTAAAAATATTTTTTAAACTGGCCAAACCTGTTTAGGAGAACAGAGAGAGGTGTCTGGAAGGATTTAATTACAGAAGTGAAAAATAACTTTGCCCTAAGCTTCCTGGCCACAAAGCCCTTCCTGGTCTTCCTGTCACTGCCTGAAGACCAAAGCACACCAGTTCACTGGGACATGAACAGCTGTCCTGGGCCCCAATTCTAGGAAGAGTGGACAGTCTTCAAAAAGCCACAAGTTTTGCTTTTGTTCATTAAAATGAAAAGGAGGCTTGTATCTAAATATTTGTAAACTTTTTAAAAATGCTGAACCAAGCATATGAGATCATAAATCTATAACTCTAACAAAAGAAAAAGTCAAAAGCAGCCTTGCTTTCATGAGTTGAATTTAAGCTCCAAATTCCTTTACTCGAAGCAGCTATCTGCTGAACGGCAAGTCTTTGGAAAGAACACTTAATCCCGAAGCAGAAAGAACCCTAGTAGCTAATGATAACTAGGGGGAAAAGGTAGAAAATAGAAAGTTTAAACACAGATTATCGTTACAGCATCCAAATCATCGGTGTAAGTTTCCAACGCTCAAGTAACCAGCAGAGCTATGGCGCGAGTCGTTGTCAAGGTCAACTCCACAGAGCAGGCCCTCACTAAACGAAGGGCACAGCAGGCGCCCCACCCCAGGCCCGGGGACCCACAGCCTTTGAGAATCATGACAGTCACTGTCATCGCCAAATGCAAGACGCGGGCCGGCTGGGGCGCCCAGAGAGCTACTCAGACGGTGATCTGTTGGTTTTCTCTGAAAAAGGGTCTCTGGTGTGAGGCACAAATGTCCGGAAACATCCGGAAGACCTGGTCCGGCGGGGGCTCCTCGGGCACCTGCATCAGGGAGCCGGCGCCGCAGCTCTTCCCGGCTTCCTCCATCAGCTGCCGGACGTAGAGTTGCTCAATCTAGAGAGATCGTGCACCACGTCAGAGACAGAGGTGGAAGCGAGCTGGGTGCTGTCTTTGGCCCTCCCCAGACCCTCTGACCACCCAAAGCTATCAGCCCAGAACCTCCACGTAAGTCCCAAATGAGCAAACCCGGAACAGGCAGATGTAAAGAGAGGGCTGCACATTTCTGCACAGACTGTGACATGTACTCTCCTCCCAGTATGGCCCCAACCTGGCTCGCCAGTGCCCAGAATCCCACCATTAAGCTCCATTCCTTTGATTATCATTAAATAAGGGCTCGCAAAGCCCTCGTCTGTCACTTAGACTTCAAGGCAACCAAACAGGTGGAATCTTTCTGGAGAAGAGGCATTGATTTAAGAGAAAGTGAAATGTGCGCGCGCACACACACACACACACACACAGATGAGGAGTCCCAGACCCAAGGATGGCTCAAGAACCCACATCCCCCGCTAGAGGTCCGCCCAGGCCCGTCTCTGCACACAGGAAGCCCCCCCGTCCTTGCCGCCTCTTCTCCAGCCCACCTATGAACTTGATGCTGACATGACCGGCCACAGGGCCAGAAGCTGCCAATCTTACCTGCACGAGGATGAGCTTGGAGCGCAGGGGGACTGTGTCTGGAAACTCTTCCCCGAAGCACAACACCACCCGGCTGTCTGGAAGCCGGCTCTGGCTGTTATAGAACTGCTGCAACTCTGGAATGACATGGGAGTGTTTCCAAGGAAGGCCAAGATAGCCTCCCACTTGCGCACGGTGGGGCTGGGGGACCGGGAGGTGCGAAGCCTAGTGGGGACGGTGCAGCGTCCAGGCCAGGGCACTATGGGGTTTCGAACTCATGGCCGTGGCCTGGACACTGGGCCTGTGGATCTGGCCACTGTGAGGTGGCTGCTGTGTTTTTAATACGTGGATGTGAATCCCTTTCTGTGAGCACGGGGGGCTCATAGGGAGGCACCCACATTCCTGCCTTGGGCATAGTGAGAGCTGACGGGCAGCACGTAGTGTGTGTGGTATCGACCCAGGCACTCGGCGTGCAGTTAGTGTGTCTCAAAACATGCATGCAAGTCCCCAGGGAGCTTACTAGGGTGCAGCCTCTGACCTCCTAGGCCTGGGGTGGGGCCTGAGACTGCATCTCTTGGGGTTGGTCCACGGGGCACGCTCGGAGCTGCACTAAGTTCCTTAACCCTCCCGACCACCACATGAGGAAGGTACTGATGCCGCACCCCATATACACAAGGGGAAGTCAAGGCACAGAGAGGCTTCGCCGATGGCTCAGTGAGAAAGTGCAGAGCAGGACTCACAAAAGGGGGGCCCCTGCTGCACCCCACCCCTCACTCCCCCACGTCCCCCAGTGAGACCACGGGGCCACCCGGGACTCGAGCTGCCAATGGCACACGGGCAGGAGGCATGATGGCCAAGACCAGGGCTGGCACAGCGGCGGCAGTACAGACCTCGGAAGAACTGGCTGGTGTCGAAGACCTGGACCACCTCGTCGCGCTCCAGCTTGTTGGGCCTGCCCTTGCATGCGGCGGCCGCGTTGCCGCTGCAGAACACGCGGCCCTGGCACAGCCGCTTGATGAACACACCCTGCCGGCTGCTGTGTAGCAGCACCCCGCGCTCCAGGTGCCCGAACAGCTTCCGCGTCACCTGCCTCTGCCGCTCGCTGGGGATGGTGTCGGCCGGCGGGAAGCGCACCAGCTCCAGGCCCTCAGGCCCGTACAGCTTGGCACCCGGCAGCCCCGGCTGGCTCAGGGACAGGCGGCAGCCCTCGGGGCAGGTGGTGGTGGCCTGGCCTACCAGCTTGCCCCCGTAGTAGAAGCTGATCACCATCTGGGAGAAGGCTGTGGGCGAGAGGGGGCAGGTTAGGGACTGGGGGGGACACGCGGGCCCCTCCTGCCCAGGCGGTCTGGCTCCCGCACGTGGCCTTCCCTCTGTGTGAAACGGATCTCTCTGACATTCCAGAACGCTCATTACCACTTCTACAAGTAATGTTTTCATAAGCATGAATAAATACACAGAGTGACCAAAGACACCAATGCTTCAAAATATGAGAAATGGTCACCTCACACCTGTCAGAATAGCCTTTAAAAAATCAAACAGTAAGCCGGGCTCGGTGGCTCTGCCTAGAATCCCACACCTTGGGAGGCTGAGGTGAGTGGATTGCCTGAGCCCGCAGGTTCGAGACCCGCCTGGGCAACTTGGTGAGACCTCATCTCTATAT